GTGTGTGTGTGTGTGTGTGTGTGTGTGTGTGTGTGGTAATAGTGATTTTTACCTTAGCAACCATTGCTAATAATAATTTTAAAAAATTCTTTGAAAGTTGACAATTGAATAATTGAAAGTTCCCTTCCGAGGGAACTTCAAACTGCGTCCTCTAGGGGTCGCTATGGGGTACGCCTTCAGCGTGACTGGTGTCCGAAGCATACATCTAAACACGACAATAACATTGGCCAGTGACAGCCTGTGACGTCATCACCCGGCGTGACCACAGTGTAAAATGGCGCCGGGAGAACACGTCATCCTCTTCTTCGTCTTCAGGACTGTTTTGTTTGAAGCGTGCATTTGTGGTAAGAATGATTACTCTTCTTTACCATGGCGAGCACTAGTAAGGCATTTAAGAAGTGTGTGGATCAGTGTCCTCATTATTTGACACATGATGACACACACGATCTTTGCGTCTTTTGTTTGGCTGAAGAGCACGTGCACGATGTCCTCAAGGGGGCAGTTTGCTCACACTGCAAGCTTTTTTCTATGAAAAAGCTCCACTCTCGTTTGTCTCTCTTTTTGAGGAAAGAGGGACAGTCATCAGCTCCCCGTGGTTCAGAACCCTCCGTTGCTGAGGCACGGAGGAAAATGAGCTTGTGGGGATTGCAGATAGACCTGGCTGATGAGTTAAAAAAGGGCCTCTCCCTTTCGCAATCATCAGTCACGGACGAGAGTGAGCTGCTGGGGGCAGTTTGCTCACACTGCAAGCTTTTTTCTATGAAAAAGCTCCACTCTCGTTTGTCTCTCTTTTTGAGGAAAGAGGGACAGTCATCAGCTCCCCGTGGTTCAGAACCCTCCGTTGCTGAGGCACGGAGGAAAATGAGCTTGTGGGGATTGCAGATAGACCTGGCTGATGAGTTAAAAAAGGGCCTCTCCCTTTCGCAATCATCAGTCACGGACGAGAGTGAGCTGCTGGACGTCTATGCTATCTCTCTTATATCGTCTGATCCAGCGGCTAGTGCTCTGCTGGCTCCAAGCCAGGATGAGCAGATGTCAGATGAAGATGAAGAAGTTGAGACTGAGTCCTCCCAATCCTCCTACCCCACGTGTGAGGAGCTGCTTGAGGTTATGGATCGTGCCACGGCGAGGCTTGACTTGTCGTGGAACCGGGCCAAGAAAGTGACGCCTCGAGGCCACCTCGACGAGCGTTTACTTTCTAGCCATAGCGTTCCAGCTCTGGTGAGCCTTCCATTTCTTCCCAATTTCCATGTGGAGATCGAGAAGGCTTGGAAAAATCCATTCTCATCTCGCATTCATAGATTCCAGCATATTAGTTATGCCAACATTGAGGGGATGCATGAGAATGGTTATGAGAAGATGCCCCCTGTTGAAGAGACACTGGCCTGCTATCTCTCTATGGGGGAGACATCTTCTCTTAAGGCTCCCTCCCTGCCATCCAAACCACTTCAGGATAGGGGTGGGCGATATGAGCTAAAATACATATCACGATATTTTACACTGTCCAGGCGATATCGATATTATATTGCGATATGAGAAAAAAAATTTACAGGCAAAATATTTTAACCTTATATAAATAGAAAAAGTGAGGGATTGGACATAGACCTGAAAAGTATTTTTTTATTGTGCAATTGTTTTTCTCAAAAAGTGCAAACGTGCAACATGAGGTAGGCCTGTATGAATTAAATTAAATTTAAATTAAATTAAATAGTGTGTGTTTGATTTGGCCAGTGGTTCCCAAACTTTTTCTGCCGGGCCCCCCTTTTGTAGAGAAAAATATTTTCAATTTTTTTTTTTTTGGAAAGTCTCTTATGCTCATCAAGGCTACATTTATTTATTAAAAATACAGTAAACACTGTAATATTGTAAAATATTGTCAATTTAAATGATCTATTTTAATTTTTTTACATATAGCCGATATTATATTGCGATATGAGAAAAAAAAATTACAGGCAAAATATTTTAACCTTACATAACTAGAAAAAAGTGAGGGATTGGACATTTTTTTTATTGTGCAATTGTTTTTCTCAAAAAGTGCAAACGTGCAACATGAGGTAGGCCTGTATGAATTAAATTAAATTTAAATTAAATTAAATAGTGTGTGTTTGATTTGGCCAGTGGTTCCCAAACTTTTTCTGCCGGGCCCCCCTTTTGTAGAGAAAAATATTTTCAATTTTTTTTTTTTTGGAAAGTCTCTTATGCTCATCAAGGCTACATTTATTTATTAAAAATACAGTAAACACTGTAATATTGTAAAATATTGTCAATTTAAATGATCTATTTTAATTTTTTTACATATAGGCTACTGTATTCCTGTGATCAAATCTGAATTTTCAGCATCATTACTCCAGGCTTCAG